TTTTTATCATGGTTCTCCGCGTAAATGGACTTATCCACCTGTCCACTTACATCATTCTCTTTTAGAAATGGCCCACAATTTGTGGAGGACATTATTGTTCTAAAAGCGGTGGCTGATAAATTATAAAATCTTTAAAACTATATAAATAATCAAATATAATTAAATAAACAAATAATCTAAATAATATATATTATATATAGACTACTCTAGTAAAAATAAATTAAAAATAAATTAATCTAAGCCAAAGTTTGTATTTTAATTTGTAATACAGTAAATAAATTCTTAAAAATAAATATATTATACTGTATAATTGTTAATAAAAATTAAAAAACTAAACTGGCATAAAAAAGTAAAATAAATAAAATAAAAATTAAACTTATTTTATTCTTTGCAAAAAAATTGGTTTCAAAAAAAGCAAGTTTGTTTAGATTTGCAAATTTTTCTTTTAAGAAAATTCGTAATTTATTAGTAGACATTTTCTTAACTAATAAAATTCTGCATAGCTGATAGTAATATGTACGTACGTACGTTGTATGTGCAAATTTGTTTATTATGAACCTGTTTATTGGTTGGCAAAAAAGAAAATTTAACATTTTCTTTTGCGTCATTGAGCACTTGTAAAATACCTTAATATGTGATCCTGACTTTTGACTAAATGTTCCCAGGATTAGGGTGCTTCATCATATATAAACTCTACGTTAGATTGTGGGAAGATGAGTTAGACGCGTTCTGTGATCGATTATATAATTTGCTAAAATTTAAATTTGGGGACCAAATGCTCAGATTTGGTGATCGAATTTTAGCTTAATGTCATATCGCCAGTGCAATCTCTTATAGACACAAAATTTTGGGACCGGAGAAACTATGAATAGAATTTGAAACAGGATTTTATTAAAGCGGTTCTAATTAAACTTTTCAACCTTGGGGACCAATTTTACCAAATTTCAAATTTCCTTATTTGGGTGATCTACAGAAATTAACCAATAAAATTTGGTGATCTACATAGATTAACCAAGAAACGGGGTACTAATAAAAAATGTTGAGTGAGCAATTTTACCCAAATTTTTGCCCGATCCCCAACTTCTGAATAACCCTAACCCTAAATTTAAGTGCTTCGTTTTAATATCCTTCCAAATAAGGAAATTTAAAATTTGGGTCGGTAAAATTGATCCACTTTGGGTCAATTTCACTTAAAGATGGCAAAGATTTTTATTTCAGATGATTATGATTTAAGTGTGCCTAAATGTCGCATACAAATAATTAGGCTGATCAATAAAAATAACTTTTTTGCCATCCCTAGTTTCACTTTAATAATGTTACGTAACGACGACTTACACCGTGATTATACAATAGCGTTTTGCTTTTTATTTATTTATGTAATAAAATAAAATACTAGCAATGGCCAGCGAGAGTTTCCAGATTATAGTTTATTATTGACAGAATTAATTTTTAAAATAATAACCGACTAAGCCGGCTTAGCCGTATCAAAATTATCGACTTGGCTAAGCTTATAAGTTTTAATCGTCCACAATCACTACAAAAATAGTTCATTTATAATATTCATCTCCAACTTTTGAACTTATCTCATGGCGCTCGTACAGCTCTTCCCACCAGCCCATTCATATTGTAACTCCAATTGCAACGGAACTTTACAATTCTTTAAAAACATCTCAACGGCGGTAACGCTAAAACTCCAGCACTTTGGAAACGTTAACCATCTTAAAGACTTCGGAACCAATCTCCCGATTTGTGGTAGATAAGCGTTAGCAATGTCCACTCCACTATATCCTACACCATTAACACTTCCGCGAGAATCCCAATACCCACCATATATCTGTAATTTTCTCAGATTACAAGAATTGCTGTTCAAAGAACACTTTGCATCACAAGAATTACTTAAAGTTGTGAAACATTCGAGAAGATCTTTACGTTCCAAGAACAATTCAAGTGTTCGAATGTTGGTACAATGATCGATTATGGAATCTAAGAGCGGAAGGTCAATGTCTTGCTGACAGTTTAGGCAGATGGATTGAAGCGATGTTCCAGCACCTTTAATTATTGGTCTCAAATCATCATTTGGAATCCTCGACCCACGAATACTTAGAGTTTTGAGATTTGGAAATATGACGTTGTTGTACGATGTTAATTCTCGAAACTTGAAGATTTCTTGAGAATTTTGCTGTTGTATGATATTATTGTTGTTGGAACAATTGTTCCACGTGCATGAGGTTATATAAAGTGTTTCCAGGTTTTCACAAACACTTAATGATTCTAACGTCACACCATTCTCAAAATATATTGTATCAAATTCCAAATAGGATAATGTTCTTGATTGAGTCTCAAGAGATGAAATGAAATCAATATTTAAATCACTAAAAAATATTGAAATATGTTCTAGCCTGTGTTGAACTTTAATAAGATTTGAAAGTAACTCTCGTTCAGATTTTGGAGACTGTTTATCCACACGTTCCCTGGGTGAAGAAGGCGCTATTCTTCCGTAAAATGGATCGTATTCTAATCCATCGATAAGAATTGCGTATGATGATATAACATCGTTAAATAATGATGTAAAATGACGACGCGTGTTGAATCTTTCATTTCGTTCGATCCTTCCAATTCCTCCATACTTAAGGCCCCGACCAATTTGTTTTGGTTCAGTTGATATCTTTTCAATAACCAACTTTTTTATGTTGCGACAATTTTGTGATCTTGATGCAGTATCCAAATTTCTTTCTTTGTTGCCCCATCCGGAATAATTTAATTCGCGTATATGTGGTAAACAGCATAAAAGATAAAATCCGATCAATTCATCATGATCTGTATTAAATATTAATCGATCAAATGTTGGGCAACTTTTATTAAAAAGTAACCCCAATTCTTTGATTACACATGCGATCATTTTTTGATCTGGACTCGAGTTCCTTCCATACGGTCTATTATCACAGCTTGTTTTATAACTGACCCAACGCCAAACTTGCTCCCACAAATCTCCTGTAGTAAGTTTACGTAAATATGACGCATAGTTGAAACTCGGAGGACGCCGTGTCAATTTTTTCTTTAATAATAATTTACAATCCCGTTTTAAACGAGTCTTTGCTTCGATATCCATACAAGAAATAAAGGTCTCCACAAGCTTTGGTGAGCCTCCTCTCTTTGAACAAAGTTCGAAAGGTTTACGCCATAAAATAGAAACCACATTTTTGCACCAAAAACGGTTGACTTGTAGAATAGAGAATAAAGTACATTCATCGTCTTGTAAGTGCTCAAAGATTTCCTGAAGACATTCAGTCGGAATCGGTCTAAACATTTTGAACCTCCCCCCCTTTTTTTTAATTTAAAAAAATGTTTTAAAAAAATTTTTTATTTGAAAAGTGAACGCAACCATTTAGGAGTTGACCTGTGCAACTTCTAACTAACTTTGAATATTTACCTGTTACGTTACACATAATACGATAATACGATATACCAGTATCAACTACCCCAAGAGCACCACCAAAAATTTTCGGTTACACAACATTTGTACTACATTCCAGCCAATAGTATTTTACG